GTTTCATATCCTCCACATGCAAGATTTTTAAAGGCTTAGCTTCCTATGTAAAGCAGCAACCGAGTAAAATGTTGTAACTAGAAGAGAGATAATTGTTTGCTTCCTTTTTTATTTACTGTTATATGTTTTAGGAAAAATATGTTTAAGAACTTATTACAAAATAGCAATAATCTATGTACATATATAATGTATAATAATTGAAATGTGACTGTATTTTACAAAATACTAGTCTACTAAAACACAGCCAAGACAAGTTACTTTGCACAGACTAAAGGTCAGTTTTGTTTTATTTAATACGGTAACATGAGTGCATGTGAGCCTCATCACTGTAACTTCTGTATTCTTAGCCAGGTATGGCTCAAATGTCAATATAATAAAAATAATAAATATATATAAATGTATAATGTTATGAGATTTAAGTTATTTAGTCTAATCATTTTTGTTTTCGTGTTATAATTTGGGTTCATTCTAGAATGAAGTAGGCATAATTTATATTTATTTCCTAATTTTTATGGTGGTTGCGAGATCAGTCAAATCTACCAAACCCATACAGAGATTAATTACTGAAAATAACAGATAAAATATAAAGTTTTTTCTCAAGAAATATTTGATAATTATCTGGACATTATAAAGATTTCACAAGTGAAATTTCAAAATTTTCTAATGCATAAAAGTATTTTTAATCTTAAAATGAATATGATAGATAGGCAAGATGTATAATGAAAAAAAGACATGAGAAAAAACATTGCTTTATAAACCTTAAGACTTAATAAAAAATTTAAATCTTATAGCATGAAAACTATAACAAGCACAAAATGGTTATGAGGTCGGTTCCATGGACCGAGCCCGTGCTGAAAGAGTTAAATATCCTAAGTTCATGTGTCTATTTTTTACATCCTTGTTGTAAAAGATAATGATGTTTCAACAGTGTTATTATTATTTATCTACTTACTAGTTTAATGCAGTAGCTGCCTGAGTTTACCTTCTTTGGGAACTGGAACATAAAATTATATTTTCCATTTCTGAACATTTTGATATACAAGTGTTGCTACAATATTTGATTAAGTTATATACCTTCTTTTATATAATATTTTCAGCATTGTACTTAAATTGTTTAACATACATATTTAAATTAAGCACTTTAGATGCATATCACTTACATTTCACTTTAATACTTAAGATAAAGTTTTCTTTATCAAATAATTTTACAGTCTAATTTTTTAGGAAGAAACTTGTGAAGTTGAGTGTTTCTTTTCCAGCTGTTTATTATTTTATTTAATTTGTCTTAACCCATGGCTAATTAGTTTCTGGAGTTTCCTGAGAGCAACTTCTATAGTAGATCTAGAAGAGTATTTGTTTTTTTTTTGTATTTCACCATTATCAAACTTCCTTATTTGCAGTATGTTGTAATGTGATATATATATATATATACTTTCTATAAACATTAGATTTTAGGAAGCATAGTGAAAAGTTAAGTAGCTGTACTAATTGTTACAATGGCACACACACAATGTATCACATAACCTCCAAAATGAGAAAAGTGTTTGGAAAAGTTGAAGTATTGTCTAGATTCTAAATTGATTACAACATTATGGTTTTGGTCTTCATGAAACTTTTACAGAGGGTGAAATGAGAAGTTGGAACTAGTTTTAGAAGTAATAGGTTGAATAGGTAGAGACTTAATGCATTCTTTGATTCACTGCATTCTTTGCTGTGGACTGTAATTTTGCCTATTTTAAATATCATCAGTGCAATTTGAGTCTCTATGTCATATATTAAATTTTAATTTTGATGAAAAGAAATCTGTAATATTCACTGTGTAATACTGAATAATACATTAGGCACAATGCCTCACAATGTTATTCACAGACCCAAGTTAATTTAACGTACTATATGGTAAGATAAAAACAACAACTTAAAAACCACATAAATATTATGTACACATCACCATTATAAGAGGCTTTACTATATTTCTTTGATTTGCTGGCCCAAGCTGTGCTGATGATTCTTGAATAGGCAAAATTGCAGTCCATGGCAGAGGGTGCAGCAAATCAAAGAATGCATTAGGCCTTTACATCACGATTATATTTTCAATTTTACCTTTGGTGAAAAGAAAAGAAACCTGCAATATAATGAATGGGATAAAGCTATCAAATTGTGTTAGGAGTTCAGTAAACATCTTTTTTTTTTCTCTATATTGAAGTACCAAGTGAACTTAATGACAAGATTCTGTGAGTTCAGGTATTCTATGAATTTAAAGCAGTGATCCTTATTGTGAAAAAGAATAATAAAAGTGTCATCCACAAACCTTCTGTAAAGGGTAGGTCAGAAGTCAGCGGGGCAGGTGTCAAGTTATTTCTGTTCGTAATACGAAAAAATGTATTAGCTAATGCTGGGCCCAGCGGGGAGCTCATCGCTATGCCATCTATTTGTTCAAATAGGATGTTGTTGAACAGGAAATGTGAATTCTTGGTTGTAAGGTCCAACATGATCTTAATTTGAGTTTCGGCAAAGCTATTCTACGAAATATATTTACATGAAAGTTCAGATATACAAATATCAATGGTTTCATTTAGAGGTATATTTGTAGAGAGGGATATAATATCAAAGCTGGCCATAAAGTGGTTGTTGGAGGGGGAGATAATGTGAACTAGAAACAATCAGGAATAGTGAATTCATTGGTAGTGAGTGGCTGTAGTATAAGTACCAGGAATTTCACAAGTTTGTACGTATGTGTGCCTAAGGCTAAAAAGATTGGTTGGAGGGGGTACCTTCTCTGTGAAATTTAGGAAGACTAAATAAAATACCAGGGTGGGATCCTGTCGGATATAATGAGGCAGCAACATTTTTGGATATGATATTTATGTTTTGAAGTTCTCTCAAGTATCTTTGAATTTTTTCCCTCACGTTGGAGGGTAGGTGTCAAAGGGTCATTGTTAAGGATTTTAAATTGATAGATTTGGTGAATTTGCTTTAGATACTGAAGATGGAATTTGTAGAATTTTGAAACATTTATCTGTGTTCCCTTCAGTTGTAAATAAACATTGTTGTTCATCTGAAGCATTCTTATCCTTTTTGTTGTGAAACTTCATTTTCCTCTGAACACTTCAATTACTAATATCCATAAATTTTATATGCTCATACTTCTTTCACAAATTTATTAATTATCACTAATGACACACATCAAAGTGTAAAACTGCTGTTCACATGAAACAACAATCTAAATATTATCTCAATTTTCAGATGTTTATGTTTCATAACATATTTTGTATTTCAGCCACAAAAAAATCCTTTTTAATAAATTGTTGCATGCCTCAAAGGAAATTTGTGTAGCTTGCTTTTTGTATCTTCTTTAGTATGCTGGAATACTTATAGAAAATAAAGAAATAAAAAGTTTGAAGTTAATCACCAGTTTGTAATTTTTTTTGTAGTCACTGATGTGTCAAATACTAAAATACTGGAAATTCTACAAAAGCAAGAACTTAAGATGCTAGTTACACAGCCACCCAGAAATGGATTTGAAGAAATGATTCAGCTGACAGAGCAGGGCAAGTTATGGACTTTCCCCATAAATAATGAAGCTGGTAAGATGGCATTCATTCCAAAGTACCAAAAGAATCAAATTTATTATAACTGAAAAAAAAAATATTTTTTTTGAAAGAAATATATATATACTTTATTTTTATTATAATCATCTTTATCCATTTTATTTTTAACTATCATCATATCCGTCAAGATTTATGTTTTCCATAAGCTGTCCCCTCTTACATTAAAGGCCATTTCATAGGTTTGGAAGAAGAAGCAAACATAGAATTCCATCAACACATTTTCCTCGAACATCTATTGGAAGTATTTCCTAAACAAGGACCAATACGACATTTCATGGAGTTGGTCACTACAGGCCTTTCACAAAATCCTTACTTGACTGTAGAAAGGAAAAAGGACCACATAGAATGGTTTAGAAGATACTTTAAAGAAAAAGAACAAATTCTTGAAGATTCTGGAGCTCTTTCTGAGTAATGTCATGTTCATGTAGCAATATCAAATCAGTTCCATCTAATGCTAGTGAAAGTTTAAGCTATAAAATAGGTAACTGTATGAATTAGTGGAAACAAGGGCTGATAACCTCAAAATCACAGTGTTTGTAATTAGACAATTGATGTTCTTCTGGTTGTTTTTAATTGCTTAATATTTTATTAAATATTTCATCTTAAACATTGTATTACACAGTTAAAAATATCAACAAACTATGTAGTGTTCAATATTGATTTCAAGCAAGAGAATAATAATTTTTTATATTAGTATTTTAATTACAATTTTAAAAAATTGGCTAATGCCATGATATCTTTTGATAATAGTGTGCTATCATGGTAGAATTACAATTAAAACATTTTTGGGCTTTCAAAAATGCTATAATTTAAACAATAAAATGTTTCTTCTGTTTGAAACTGAAGATGAGTATTTTGAAAGCAAGTTAAAAAAATATTTAAAGTAAATTTTTCTCAGTGTTTTGTTTATGAATCAGCACATTTAAACCTTTTAAAAGTTTATCATGGAAGCCAGATATAACATTCAACAAAATCTCATTTTTGTTAAAGACAAGAGAAAGAAACTAGAAACCTGAATGTCAAGAGTCAGAGGAATTTTCAACACCTGGTGATACTAAAGTGTGAAATTTAAATACCTTTGTCAGACTTTAGAGTAGGTGAAGAACAATCCTAAAGTATTTTAGCTTTCTAACATGTAAAGTAACAAATTGAAAGAATAAAAAAATTTCAACTAATATTAAAGTGTGTTGCAATTTTTTAATGACTTCTTACAAGCATTGTATGTACAATGAATATGAATTTCCATATGAAGCTGTTCAAGTATAAATAAACTTGAACTTAGAAAACTGTAAATATATACAATTACCAATTTCTTTGCTGTATGTGCTAAAATACTTTGAAGCTTTTTGTACAGCATTACATATACTACATATGTACATTAATGAAACATCCTTGGTATTTTAGGCACTTAGTCAACATTTAAGGGTAGTAAAATGGGAAGAGTATTGATAATGGATTTAGGCATATCCACACAATATAAGATAAATAATACTATTAATAAATTCCTTTACAGGTTTTTACAACAAGGAAACAGGACAAGTATTAAAGTTTTATTTTGCATAAATAACTATTGATAACATATGTGCATCATGCCAATACAAGTTCATTTGTAAAGTTAAGAACTACATATTTCTGGTTTTTTAATTAAATATTTTCATTGTAGTGAAATATTTGTGTTATAAAATCATTACTGTTTGGTTTGCAATTGGCCAAAATTGTATAGTAACAATTTGCTTTGATAAAGTGTACAACTTTTACAGTGCACTAAATGTAATTATACATATCTGTTTGATAGGGACAAATTTCTGTAGTAATAAAAAGTTTCATTCAAATAACAACAACAAAAGAAACAGTTTTTAAGGTGACTTGTGTGAACTTAAAATGTTCCAGAATTAACTTGTAATGACTGATTGTGTATAAATATCCATCTCAGGAATTATAAACCACTAGTATAGTTAAAACACATTAAAAAAGTAGATTTATGTTGAAGTTTTGGCTATAAGAAAAAATATTAAATAACTTGAATATAATTTAAACTAATACATATGTATATAAATTTAAGTGCTTCAAAAGGCCATTATAGCAATATTACAAACATTTCTTTTTTCTGATGATGATGTGGTAAACGTTTTACAAATGTTTTTAATTGTGTATCAATTTTAATATTGTGTGTTATTTATTTATTATTTTAATGTCAAGAACATTCATTTTTCTAAACCTCTGGAAAACTTCCAAGAAAAAACCCAAAAAACACTGTTCCGAATATAAATTTAATTAATTCAAAAAACACTAATCTACTTACTAAGTACCCCTTTTTCTTTCTATACCACCTAATTAACTTACCTAAGTACACACCGTTCTTTCTCTACCATGTACCTAACACATACTAAACACACCTTTTTCTTTCTATACCACCTAATTAACTTACCTAAGTACACACCTTTCTTTCTCTACCATGTACCTAACACATACTAAACACACCTTTTTCTTTCTATAATATTTAATTAACACACTTTTTCTTTCCATAATATATAACTAATCTACTAACTTAACATGCATTTTTCTTTCTATGTTATGTAATTAACCTACCTACTAAGCACACCTTTTTCTATTTATATTATGTAAATAACTTATTTACTAAACATGCCCTTTTCTTTCTATAATGTGTAACTGGTCTTCCTACTAAGCACACCTTTTTTTACACACTATTTAATTAACATACATACTTAGTATGCTTTTTTCTTTCTATAATGTGTAACTAGTCTACCTACTAAGCACACTTTTTTTACACACTATTTAATTAACATACATACTTAGTATGCCTTTTTTCTTTCTATAATATGTAACTAGTCTACCTACTAAGCACACCTTTTTTACACACTATTTAATTAACATACATACTTAGTATGCCTTTTTTCTTTCTATAATGTGTAACTAGTCTTCCTACTAAGCACACCTTTTTTACACACTATTTAATTAACATACATACTTAACTCACCTTTTTTATTTCTGTACTGTGTAATTAACCAACCATGTAAGGACACTATTTTTCATTCTTTATTATGTAACTAATCTACTTACTAAATGCAAATTTTTCTTTCTATGTAACAACCTACCCATTTAGCATGCCTTTTTTGTTCTGTCCTATGTAACTAAACTACATATCAAGCACACCTTTTTCTATCCACACTATGTAACTAACCAGCTTACTAAGCACACCTTTTACTTTCTATACTATTTAATTAACCTACTTGTAAGCATACCTTTTACTTAATTTATTATATAACTAATCTACCTAATAAATGTGCCTTCCTTTTGCTATGATATGTAACTAACCTATCCACTAAGCACATTTTAGTTCTATACTGTGTAACTAACCTACCTACCAAGCACTTATTTTTTTAAACTATGTAACTAACCTACTTATTAAACACACATTTTTCATTTGTAACTAACTTGCCTACCAAACATGCGTTTTTCCTTCTATACTATATTATTAACCTACCTGATATGACCTATATCTTTCTTTATTATGTAACTAACTTGTTTACTAACCACACCTTTTTTCTTTCTATACTATTTAATTAACCTGCCTACTATCCACCCCTTTTTATTTCTGTATTATGTAATTAAGCTAGCTGCTCTACATGCCATTTTTGTATCTATACTATCCGATTAGTCTACATATTAAGCGCACTTTTTTTGTTTCTATAGTGTGTAATTAACCTGCGTACTAAGCAAACTTCTCCCTTTATATGCTATTTAACTAATTTACCTGATAAGTATATCTTTCTCTTTCTATACTATCTAAATGATCTACTTACTAACCACACCTTTATTCTTTCTTTATTATGTAAGTAACATGCCAAGTTAATATGCATTTTCTTTCTATACTATTTAACTAATTTACCTACAAAGCACATCTTTCTCTTTCTATACTACGAAAATAGTCTACCTACTAAGCACCCAGTTTTCTTTTTTTATTATGTAACTAACCTACCTATTTAGCACATCATTTTCTTTCTAAAATATTAAATTAATTTGCCTACTAACCATCTCTTTTCTTTCTTTATCTAATCTAATTAACCTACCTATTAAGCACACCTTTTTCGTTCTATACTATGCAACTACCATACATACTAAACATGCGTTTTTCTATCTGTACTATATAACTGGCACATCATTTTATTTCTACATCATGTAATTAACCTACTTACTAAGTACACGTTTTCATTTCTATACTGTGTAACTAACCTATTATGCACACCTCTTTCGATCTATACTTTGTAACTAACTTTTTCGTTCTGTACTATGTAACTTAACTAACAAACGTGCCATTTTTTTTTCTATGTTACGTATGTATTCTACCTATTAAGCACATTTTTATCACTATAATATGTAGTTAACCCATGTAATAAGCGCAACTTTTTCTTTCTATTCTGTGGATCTAAGCTACCTACCTAATTTGCCCGTTTGTATTATATGCTATGTAACTGTTCTATGTACTACCGTATTTTCACGCAAATAACCCGAGTGCTATATGTTAAATTAATTTTCAAAAATGCCAACTGCGGCGTATACTCGTGTGCCGATAATACGGTATTTTTGTTTTTAACACTGAAATCGCCAATTTTCTATTTCAAATATTCGTTTATGTTGTTCTTGTTCAACACGTGGAGCGATTCATCAATCGGCCGATAAGTACGTTTGTTAGCAATCCCAGTTACTATTTGTTCAATGAACAAAGTATATATACGAATACTTTTAACTGTATTTATCAGTATTTAAATAGATTACAATTGCGACTTAATTAGTTGCTTACGTATTCCAAGATGAGTAGGTTTCACTTTCAATGTGTCCCATAACGTCACCATAACCTTTAACCGTGTAAGTTTAACAGTAATATCTTTAGTAGCTGTTATTTTGCACGTGTTACATGCATATATATAATTTGATAGTGAGAAACTTTCAGTTTGAATTTGGCCGTGTAACTAACGTTTTCTCTTCGTAGTGCCTCCCAGTGGCACAGCGGCATATCTGCGAACTCACAATGCTACAAACCGGTTTTTGACACCAGTGGTGGGCGACAGATAGCCCAATGTGTTGCTTTGTGCTTAAACTCCAAACAAAAAATCTTCCCAGTAATTACAGCAGACATCGTACGGCAGTAATTTTCATGGCGATTTATAATAATCTGGGCGAATTCGTAAAATGATATAAAATTCAACAGTCAACATGGTGAATTTAGTTGAATTGGCGGCAACTGCCTGTTGTAGAAAAATAAGTATAGAGGACGACGTTTCGAAAGTCTTTTCAGTTGTTTCTCTTCACCCCACTCGCGAAATTGTTTAACTTTGTACAAGAGATTATGATATTGTAACAGAATGCAAAATGTTTTGGAATAGAAGTAGGGAATGTGCTTGGCTGATGCTTTTTCAAGTGGAGAAAAAACTATGGTACGTGGGTAGGTTGAACGTGGTTGGCAGATGAAGCTACTTGCCTGGCCCAATTACAGTGCAAGAAACAACTGGAGGCAGTGAGTTCAGAAGTCACTGTGTACCTATCCCTGGAGCAAACGACCCCGCCCCAGTGAAGACACAAGCAATGGTCATCAGTTTATTTGACATAATATTAACATTTAATTAAAATACAAAGTTCACAAGATGCCATGATTAGAGTAAGGCTAACAGCAGAAAAAAAGATAAGAAGAATTTATTCCGTTAAAGCGTGGTTTTAAAGTAATTGAACCAATCTGAGTGCACTGAGTGACAAAACGACCAGAGGATATTTTGAAGAAAGAAATCCAAACGATTACTGGAAGAGCATTATACAACTGTGGTAACTCGCGCCACAATTATAAGTGAATTATACACAAAATACTAGTGTGATAGGAATAGGGAAAGCTAGTTCGGCTTGTCAACTGAAATTCTAAAGTAACTGAATAGGCATAATTGGACTTTTCACAACAAGAACAGAACCATATAGTGTTTATGATAACCCTATGATCTCTATAGTATAAAGAACTTGTACATACTTTAAACTAAATATATATATATTGTTACGTATCTGCTTGTTTGTTAATTTCTGGTATAAATTCTTTCCGGGGAACTTCAGCGATACAAGTCCCTTCTTGATTAAACCAGTTTGTTCTTTCTTGATACAAACTTTTAGTAC